CTCCTGGCCTCAAGTGATCCTTGCACCTTGGCCTCCCAAAGTGCTGGGATTACAGGCATGAACCACTGTGCCCAGCTTCTTATTATATATTGAATACTGTACTTAAAGTAAAAATTGATTAGTTGTATGGGCACTGTAAGTATGGTTTCTGCTGAATGCATATCGCTCTCACACCATTGTAAAGTCAGAAAATTGTCATCTAACCATCATATGTTGGGGACCATCTGTGTATTACTATCCATGGTTTGGGCATCCACTGAAAGTGTTTAAATGTACCCCTCTCAGGTCAGGGGGGACTGCTCTAACAATAAAAACAGCTTCCACTTCCGCAAGATTCGAAGTGCCAGATAGCCTAAGAGCTTTGTGTGCACGTTGATTCATTTCACTCTCACAGTAACCTGATGAGGGAATTACTGAGTCTCCCAATTTCACAGGCGAGGAAACAGAAGTAAAATGACAGTAAGGGCTTGCTCAAGGTTGAGTTGGAATTTGCACGCAGGGAGCCTCATCCCAGCCGCCTCTCGTTCACTGAAGGCCCGTCGGGTACCAGGCACCGTGCTGAGCATTCTCCATGTTTCATCCTCCCAGCCTCTCAGTGACCAAGCGCAGACATTGTTGTCACCGTTTCATTCTGAATATTTGAAGGATAAGCAAGTGACAGTGGCACACAAAGGGACACTCACTGTGGTGCCTCCTTCGTCCTTATTCGGTTTTGGACACATTCCCTGCCTAACTCCAGACTCCCCGAAGGCGTGGAACATGTCTAACGGATCCTTGGATCCCGCATGTATTGCACAGTTCCTGGCACATAGTAGGTGCACATGTTTCTTGAACTGACCCATCTTCTACATGCCCTCTTGCGTGTGACATGGCCCAGAGGCTGGGAGAAGCCAGAGCCCAAAGGCATCCTCCACTCATGACTACCATAGCCATGCTCACTGCCCTGGGCACCAGAAGGCAGAAGGCCACTGAAGCGTGTTGGCTGAATTCACTGCCTCCCTTTTGACGGAGGGGCCGGGGTGAGGAGGGGGAGGTGGCAGCAGGATCGACTCCAATGGTGCCCAGATAGACCTATATATCACCCAATACAAATAGAGCCACTCCGAGAAGCATTGAGCGGAGTGCAGGCAGACAGTGCGAGGAGAGCTGGCCTCCTTGTCCATCAGCGCTGCTGCTGCCCTGGAATGAGGACCACAGTGAGGCCCCTGGCAGGTGCCCTCCAGAGCTCCCTGCCCCTAGTTACCCCCTCTGCAGATGGGTGGGGGATGACTTGCATAGGGATAGGGTCTTATTGTACAAATCTCCTTCTGTGGCCCTGCCTGTCCTGGACCCAGGCAGGAGGGGTGGTGGGCAGATAGAAGGTGGCAGCAGGACGTTTATTGTTCTGATGGACCAACAGGGGAGCCAGGTTGGAGGCCAGAGGGGGCAGGAGATAGGTCAGTGCGGTCGGTGGTACTTACAGCTGATAGGATCTAGATGAGTCCAAGACAGATGACTGCAGAGACAGCTGGCCCCCACCACAGCTCCATCAGCAGGCCTGTGGGTCAGGAACAGGATGGGCAGCAATGTGCAACCTGGCATGGATGGGTGGAAGGTGTGGATTTTCAGAGCAAGGCTGGGGAAGGTGGATAAAAGGGTGGCAGTGGGAACAGCTTGGGTGGTGATCTGGGAGAGGACAAGAGACCCCTGGATACATACCGTCACTTTCACGTTCTCTCTTTCCCTGTCTCTGCCAATGTCTCCTTGTCTCTCTGTTTGGTTTTCGTTTTTTTCTCTTGTTCCTTTCCTTCTCCTCCCTTCATTCCTCCTTCTCATCCTCTTTTCCCTTCCCCTTCTCTCTCCCTCTCTTTCTGTCTGTCCTTCCCTCCCTCTCTCTCTTCCTCTCTGTTTTTTTTCTCTGGGTGTGGATGTGACCTTCTGACTTGTTTTCCCCTCCTCCTCCCTCCTTCCCTTGCTCCCCTCTCTCTTTACAGGTGTGCACTACAGCTAGCATTTATTGGGGGTGTGCTTTGTTCCATAATCTGTTCTGAGCTCTTCACACATATGTGTATGCATCCATTCCTCAATCCTCACACAGCCAGTGGGGCAGATATTGCTCCTGGCTCCTGGCATCTCTTTCTGAGGGCCTTGTTTGCATCTGGACCCAGGATGCTCATGTGTGACTTTTCTGGAATCTGAGCACATTGTGGCTGTTAATAGTGATGATGATGATGATGATGATGATGATGATGATGATCATGAAGATAAAACATTATCAGGCATTTTCTCTGTCCTAAGTGCTTTATGTATATCATCTCCAGGAGTCCTCTGGGTGCCTCCAAGAAGTGGGCATTATTATCCCCACTCTACAGATGAAGAAACTGAGGCTGAGAGAGGTTAAATGAGTTGGTCAAGGTCACACAATTGGTAAAATGTGAAGCAGGGCTGGAAACAAGGTCTTCTGGAACTTCAGCTCACTGATCTGCCACAGAAGGGAGACTGGGAAGCCCTGGGAAGCCCAGTCAGGGCCAGAACTCTGGTCTATAAGTTACCCCTCCCTAGGAACCTGGCTCAGGGGCCAGCTCCATCACTGTCTCAGCAGAAACCATTGATCATCTTAGCTGTAGCTTTTCACCAAGGAAGAATGCCTGAAATCACATCCATGCCCAGGAAAGGCTGAGAATTACAGCTGAGCTTTCCGTCAAGATGGCTGCTCTTGACTCAGAGTGCATCAGAAATTAAAATAGCAAATTCAAGATTATAACACTTTGATCATGGCTCACATATAGTTCTTCTGTAACAAAATCCCCAACATGGAGTAGTCAGTATTTTTTAGGCTTGTGCCAGGTCAACACCCTTCTTCACTGAGAACCTCACATTCCCTCATCCCCTAATGGAGAAAGCCCTTGGGAGCCATGTTGGTGTCATGTGACCCTGTCTCCCAGGCTGATTGGATCAAGGGTGATCACCTGATCCAAGATGGGCTAATCAGATCCTCTCTCACCAAAGTCTGGAATTGAGAATCTATTCTTTTTTCTTTTTAATTTTTTAAAACTGTCACCTAAAATAGTTTTATTATTTTAAAATTATGTAAATAATAC